GCTTCCCGCTGAGGTTAGATCCTTGTAGTTGTAGCTGACGCTGAAGGGTCACAGCTGCTGCTGCGCTGGGAAGGTCTTTGCCAGAGTCAGGGGACTTGGTGTTGCTGGTCCTAGGATGTCTGTTTCCTTAAAAGTACTTTTACTATATTTATTTATTTGTGAAAAAGTGTTTATTAGTGGCACATAACTTTAATCCCAGCACGTGGGGGGACAAAAGCAGGCAGCTCCCAGTTGGTTCCAGGCCACACCAGTCTATGTAGTGAGTTCAGAGTCTGCCAGCAAAGCAGAGTGAGAACTATCTCAAAAGGGTTTTTTTTTTCTTTTAATTACGTTTTTGTTTTGTTGAGACAGAGTCTTACTGTGTAGCCCTGGCTGTCCTGGAACTCACTATGTAGCCCAGACTGGCCCCAAACTCAGAGGTCCGCCTGCCTCTGCCTGCTGAGTGCTGAGGTTAAAGGCATGTGCCACCACCGCCAGGCTTGTTACATTATTTATTTGTTTATTTGTGTAGAGACCAAATCAAGATATTGGGGCTACTTATGGGAGCATTTGGGGACAAAGCAACCTGACAGCCCATAGGAGCATGGGTGATAACTCACCAAAGTCGTCTTGCTTGGGTCTAGGGGTGGCTTCCTCTCACCATCCTGAGCCCGGGTTACTCAGAGTTCTGTAAGTCTCAGGAGCCCACCCCTCCTCTCCCAGAGAGGAACTGGAGAACCGGAAAAACCGGCTCAGGAGCCGCCACTCCAGCCCTTCCGACCTTCCAAGAGACAACTTGAGGAGGAATGGATATTGTCAGATTTGGGGGAAAGCTTTAACTTATTCTGGGGGGTCTTATTCCAATCCAATTGTGGAGGCCATCATGTCCTCCCTGTGTAGATATTCAGAGGCGGGGGAGGGGCTGCTCCGTTTGCCACGGTGTGTTCTGTGTGGAGGCTGAGAGCGGCTGTGTTCCTCAGTCTCTCTCCACCTCTCCAGAGCTCACTGACCAGTGAGCCCCAGGATTCCTTCTCTCCTTCCCCTAGCACCCGCTGAGGTACATTGTGTATCACTATGTCTGGTCTTTAACTTGGGTGTCGGGGATTCAAGCTCAGGTCCGAATGCTTGCATGCAAGCCCTTACCCCCTGAGTGCTTGTGAGGTCTTCATCCATGGCATTGGACACCCTCTGTGCACCACTCTTGGTGTGCAGGGTGCACCAGAGGAACACTGCCGCCTTGAGGTTGGGACTCTGGTGACACAACTGTTCATGCATTGGCCATGACCCGGGGTGGGACTGCCTTGTGGGCCAGCTGCCAAGGAACTCGCTGGACCCTGCGAGATGTAGCTCTGCATGGACCGTCGTCCTTGCACTGCAGAGCCAGGAGGGTTGAGGCCAGCCTGAGCTACAGTAAGTCCCAGGATAGCCAGGGCTAGACAGAGAGGTTCTGTCTCAAAATAAAGATAGATAGATAGATAGATAGATAGATAGATAGATAGATAGATAGATAGAGATAGATAAAATGCCTTCAGGAAAATAATTTTGAAGATTTTAAAGCATCATTGGTTTGCAAAGCTGTTCTGGATGGAATCTGTCTTTGGTCCATGTGTGTCCTGTCTTGGTGATACACACTTGACTCTCTCCCTCTCTCTTTGTCTTTAATGTGTGTGTGTGGCTTGTCTGTTCCTGCACCATGTGCCTTCCGTGCTCACAGAGCAGGGGCCTTGAATCCCCCTGGAGCTGGAGTTCCAATTGGCTTCTGGGTCCTCTATAAGAGCAACAAATACTCTTGACCTCTGAACCGTCTCTCTAGCCTCCTCCACTCCCTCACAGCCATCCTCCTGCCTCCACCTCCTGAGTGCCAGGGGGCTTGAGCCCCCACACCTGTCAGGTAGGCTTTTACTTATGTTCCCCCATTAACGTCCTAAATTGTGGTGACCTTGGGGTCCTGGATGATTTGGAATGCTCAGGTCGAACCAGGTTCTTTGATTTTACACAAGGCTGTTGAGCTCCCGGCTCTTCCGTTCAGACGTGGGCATCTTTGGGGCTATTGCCTGGTGACCACAGCCCTCACCCAAGGCTCACCTGCTTTCTGTAGACTCCCACAGTTTTCCTTTATGTCAAATTTGTTTCACTCAGCACAGAGTTTCCCTGAGTCACCCTGTACCAGCGCTATGTCCCTTTCCGTGGCTGAGTGGCACCCTATGGTATGAGCATGTGTTCTTTCTCTATTCACCCATGGCTGAATGCCTGAGATGCTTCCAGTTTTTGTCTCTTAGGACCAGAGCAGCTCAGAACATTCCTTTCCTTCTTTAAAAAAAAGAAATAAGATTAATCTTGCTTTTAGTTATGTGTAGTACATGTGTGTCTGCGTGTATGTACATGTGAGTGTAGTAAGTGTAGTATGCACAGAGGCCAGAAGGGGGCACCGGGTCCCCTGTGAGCTGTCATGTGGGTGCTGAGAACCAAACCCACATCTCCGGCCAGAATATCAAGGGCTGTTATCTTCCCAGCCATCCCTCCCGCCCTGATCATTTCTTCCCATATTCCTTCATTTGTTGAATTGTTTGTTCTTGACACAGGAGTCTAACTGTGAAGTCCAGGCTGGCCTGGAAGTTGCCAACACACTAATTCCTGAATTCTGAGGTCATGGGAAAATGCCTGACTTTCCTCCCAAGACTTTGTTCTTCCAGGAGCTGATGCCGTGTGTGACTTTGTTTCTCCTGGGTGACCAGAGCTGTGGACCAAGGAATCAGTGGGAGCTGAGGCGAGGCTGGATTTCTCCAGACGTGGGGGCTATAGCATCCCAGCATCACCCACAACCTCCCCATGTGCTGGTCTCCCACACCACGGCTCTAAAGTCACCTATCGGGCTGACGTGGGGGGAGGCTTTACCTCTCTGTTGACCCATCTCCATCTATTGCTCCGTTTTTCTATTATCCATATCTATCCATCCATCATCTGCTAAATACCTGCCTATGGTCTATCCAACATCTATCTTTTTATTATCTATCCATTCATCTAGACAGGGTTCCATTCTTCCTTTTTAAATTTTATTTGTTTGTTTGCTTGTTTATTGTTTTTTTTGAGACAAGACAGGGTTTCTCTGGATAGTCCTGGCTGTCTTGGAACTCACTCTGTAGACCAGGCTGGTCTTGAACTCACAGAGATCCACAGGTCTCTGCCTCCAGAGTTTTGGGATTAAAGGCGTGCACCACCACCGCCCGGCTTAATTTTATTTATTCATTTCATGTGGATGGGTGTTTTCTGTATATATGTCTGTCTACATACCGGGTGCATGCAGTGCCCAGGGCGGCCAGAAGAGGGCGTCAGATCCTCTGGACTGGAGTTGCTGGTGGTTGTGAGCCACCGTGTTGTGCTGGAAATTGAACCTGGGTCCTCTGCAAAAGCAGCTAATGTTCTAATCACTAAGCCATCTCTCCAGCACCAGGGTCCCATTCTGTAGCCCAGGCTAGTCTGGAACTCCAGATCCTTCTGCCTCAGCCTCCCAGGTGCTGCCTCTGTGTCTTTTTCCTTCATGTGGCTGTGGTCCCCCTCAGTCGTGGGAAAACCCAAACAAAGCCATTTAGAACCCTTAGAGTCTCTGAGAAGTTGTTTTGGAGAGAGTATGCATCCGTGGGTGTGTGGCCTGTGACTCACCAGCACGCTCGCTTGGCTCAGTGATGCAGCTGTCTTTGTCTCATAAGCATCAGACACTTCTGGAAATGTGCCCTGTTCTCTTTGTCCTGGGTTGTCCTGGCACGAGCCTGTCCCCCCCCCCCCCTAAAATTCCTGCAATTCCTGTCCACTTCACCAGCCTGGGATGGCTGGCTGGGGGCGGTGGGGGGCGGGTAGAGGGGTATCGTGGCTGATGTCACACGGTGTGACATCCTGCACAGGGGAGCCTCATTGCTTACACACAAAGCAGAGTGGGAGCCAGGAAACTGATCCTCCTTCCTCTTTGGCTGGACCCTGAGAACGCCATCCAGGTGAGTTTGCAAGGCCATGGCCCCTCAGAGGCAACCACAGGCCACATTAAGTGGTTGAATCAACAACACAAACTCTTCCAGCCTGCTCTCCCTTCCCACCTCGGTGTCCCAAGTTCACCCATAAACCTCAGGTCATAAGGCTGAATGTGAGCTACTGCAGCAAGCTGTCTGCCTCGCGCTAGGCTCCCCTGGGAGCCCCAAAGACCCCCTCATTTGCACCTCCAGGCCCACAACACGTCTTCTACCAGAGCAGAGAAACTTTGCAGATGGATTAAGCTGAGGCCCCTGAGCAGGGGATCATTCTGTGTCATCCAGGGCTCGACACTGACATCAGGTCCTTGGAGGGAGGCAGGCGGGTGAAAGACTGGAGACATTGCCCTGCTGCCTTTGGAGGAGGAGGACCCTGCAAGCCAAGGGATGAAGGGATATGGACCCTCTAGATGCTGTGATGGAGTGGTATTCCAGATGCAGGCCTGGAGTGTAGGCAAGAGATGCCCATGGTGAACCTCTGACCCCACAACTGCTTAGGAATAAAAGGGCATTTATTTGTTTGTTTGTTTGTTTGTTTTAAGGGTGCTGGGATGTAACCCAGGGCCTTTGCATGTGTGATGTGAGTTTTCTTTCACAAAGCCACGTTCTGAGCCCTTTACTGGGCAACTCTAGGCAGGTATACAGTGTGCCTGTCTCAAAATAAAGCCAAACGGTTGGGAGAAGCTCAGTGGACAGGGCACTCACCCAGCATGAGCAAAAAAGCAAGCCCTGGCTTCCCACCTGCAGAGCTGCATGAAGCAGGCATGGGCAACCACCTGTCATCCAGGCTCAGAGCTCAAGGTTAGCCTTTGCTCTAAAATAAGTTCGGGGCCAGCCTGGGCTACATAAGGCCCATGTCTAGTAAAGAAACACTTCCATGTGCGGATCTGTGATCCGCCAGGGCTGAAGCTCATCCCTGAAGGAAGGGGATGTGGATGGTTCGCTGTCCCTCCCATCACTGGCTACCCTGGCTGGGGAGAGAGACAGAGTCCAGAGTCAGGGTAGAGAAGACGGCTTTTATTCTGCAGCAGCACACCGCTGTGGCCCGCACGCCACACAGACGGTGGCGGTGGCACAACAGAATTTCTTAAAACCAGAAATGAAAACCAACCAATGTCACAACGCAGATGGGAAGTGGGGTGGGAGCCGGGGCCTGGAGTGGGGTGCAGGGAACGGGAAATGCTGTGTGATGTCCTGTCTGGCCGTTGTGTCCTAGACAGTCAGAGAGGATGCGTACGGCTTCTGCTGAGGACAAGGGACGGTGTGGCGGCTTCTGCTTGGGTTGGAAGTCCCTCCTCGGTTGCTCACTGCTGAGGACAGGGGACAGTGTGGCGGCTTCTGCTTGGGTTGGAAGTCCCTCCTCGGTCGCTCAAACTAAAGCAGATCTCACTGTTTGCATCTTTACTTTTTCTAGACTGTGTCTCTAGAGCCCTGGGTGACCTGGAACTCGCTCTGTAGACCAGGCTGGCCTCGAACTCACAGAGATCCCCCTGCCTCTGCCTCCTGAGTGCTGGAGCTTAAGGTGTGCACCACCACAGCCTGGCTCCTGATGGCTCCCTTGTGTCCAGGCTTCTCCTCTGGTGGTTAAGAAGGGACATGGAGACTATTCTGGGGCCCAAGGTCCATCTTGGGAACACTAGCTGAGCACATCCCACCTTTCCCCAGGCAGCAAGAGGTCACTTTGCCCTTGGCCTGCAGTGCGCGGTTTATTCAGGCACAGATGACAATTTGAGCTTTTCCTCCAGAGTGGAGGAAGGAAAACTCGCTGTGACCACACATGGACTGGCCATGGCATCTGCTGCTAGCACCCTCGCCCGAGGGAGGCTGGGGTGCGGGGGTATGGAAGAGTGAGCTGAATTTCCTCTCTTTGAGACATGGTCTCGTGTAGCCCAGGCTAGCCTCGAATGAATTATGCAAAGAATGACCATCCAAGTCCTGATCCTGCTGCCCTTGCCTCTGCAGTCTGCCCAGGCCTGGCTTTGGCAAGCTGGGGATGGAAGCCCGAGCAAGGTTCTGGCACACCAGGTGAGTGTTCTCACCACGCTGCAGCCCCAATTCCCAAAATGTGCTTTTCTGTCTCTCCTTGCCAGTGAGTCTGGGTACATACACCCTGGGGCTCTGGTTCACACCCTAAGGCAAGGTGGCTATAGTTTTGGGGAGACACAGTGGCTTTTCTGATCCCAGCACAACTTCAGGGAGTCAGGGTCTTCCCAAAGCTTCTGATCGTCCTTGACCAGTAATGAGGAGTCGATGCACAGCAGGTTTCTGACCTTCGGTCTGTGTCCTCTGGGAGCCAGCCCAGGGAGGAGGGACGGGGTCCCCTTTTAGCACCCGCAATGTCTCCCCTTAGTCTCACCACGAATGTCTTTCCCTTGCCCCATCAGAATGAGCTGGGGGCCGTGCCACCTTACCTAGGAGGTAGGTTGTGCCCGGAGGGGCTGGGAGGTGAGGTGGGCTGAGCGAGACTCATTTACTTTCCCCACGGGCAACTTGGGCAACTGTCCAGGGACCAGCCTGGTTCAGGTTCTTAGAAGCTGATTTTCACCAGGGCCACAGGACAGAACCGGACTGGCTTCATTTCTGCAGTCTGTGCCTGCACTGGTCTTCCCACGAGGGCCTGAGACCGCGGGACACTCCTGAATCCATGGTCATCCTGATGCTGAGGATGCCTGTGAGGGTTGGCACAGCCAAGCCTTTTCCTCCTGCAACCTGCCTCTGTTACTGCTATGTATAGAGGCCCGGTCGCTTGGAATCCAACTCTATGCCAGGCAAGGAAGCAGAGGCCAGTCATACATGTACTCTGGAGGCAGAGGCAGGAAGATCTCCAGTTCCGGGCCAGCCTGGATGACAGACTATTCTCACAAAATAGAAAGTGGAGATCCTGCCTAAAATCCCCCAGTGAGGGGCGTGGGCGTGGTCAAGGTAGAGCCCCGCCCAGAACCCCCAGTGAGGGGGCTGGGGCTAGGGGCGTGGTCAGGGTAGAGCTCCGCCCAGAATCCCCTAGACATGGACTGGGGGTGTGGTCAGGGTGTAGTCCCCCACTAGGATCTTTCAGTGAGGGTGAAATGCAGAGCTGGTCCGCAGTCCTCACACTGAGGGTCTCCTCTTCCAGCCAGTTGGAAAGTGATTTGATCCAAGGAGGGGGAAAGGGGATCCAGAGTCACAGTCACCACCCCCATGTGGGATGCAGGACCCCATGTCTGTGACTCTTTCTCAATCACTTCAAAAGAATTAACCCTGCGTTTCTGCCCTCACACGGCAAATGGTAAAGGGAAAATGGGGAAGGAGCTGCCGGTGGCCACATGGGTCTCAGGCTTAGGAGAAAACAAATCACCCACTCAGTCATACCACCAACAGCTCGTTCTGTGTGGGGACCTGGAAGTCTGTTTCTGAAAGGGGTTGGGTCCCCAGAGAAAGGACATCACCGCGGGCGGATATGACAGGACCACATTCAGGAGGGACACCGGGCAGCACAGGGTGCCAGGTGTGGAGTAACAGGCGGATGCTGGCTATATTCCTCGTTGGAGCTCGGTACCCTAGGGATCCTGACTTCTGTCCCCGAGGGCTGGGGCGCAGGCATGCCCCCCTGCACCTGGGCTTTGTGTGTGGGATCAGAACTCAGGTCCTCATGCTGGTAAGACATGCATCTCACCCGCTGAGCCATGTCCCCAGGGCCAGCTAAGGGGAGTTTCGTAACACAGCCCCATTGCTCAGGTTCCCAGCGACACTTGACCCGAGGGGGTGGGGGCGGCTAACATCTGGGCGGGCAAACGCCACCTTATTCAAGAGGATCTGCTTCTATTAGTTTCTGTTTCTTTAGAAATCAAAGTGTGAGAAACTCAGATATTTTTCTTACAGTAAAAACTGGATAATACGTGGGAGGGCAGGAAGGGTAGAGAGAGCAAGAGAGAGAGAGAGAGAGTGTGCTAGAGAATTATGCAGGGCTTTTTATCTTTGAACGGGTTCTCAGAGGCTGGCACGCCGACCAGCAAGGGGTCGCTCCTGGCATGCTGCTCGCAGTAGCTCATCAGTTCTGACGAGGCTTTGGAGACCTGTGTGGCACAGGAGAAAAGGGAGGTCAGATAGGAGGGCCGCCCTCCACAGCCACAGATGATGGCCACTGGCTGACACGGGCTGCACCACGGAGGATCTGAGGACATCGTGCTTGGTGGTAGAGTCAGACACAGAAGGCCACGCAGTGTGAACTACATGATCCAGCAGGAAGTGGATACATGTTCGTTCGCTAGGGGATGGAGAAGGGGAAAGCAATGCCTCCTGAAACAGGCTTTGAGTAGGCTTATGGTCCTGAACGTAGACAATGGGGATATGTAAGAAACACTGTGCACACACAAGGTACCACTCACAGGCTGGGCAGTGGTGGCACACACCTTTAACCCCAGCATTTGGGAGGCAGAGGCAGGTGGTTCTCTGTGAGTTCAAGGCCAACCTGGTCTACAGAGAGAGTTCCAGGACAGATTCCAAAGCTACACAGAGAAACCCTGTCTCGAGAAAACCAAAAATAAAATAAAATAAAAAGATACTACTCGCAGGGACTGAGGGCATGGTCAGGGTGGAGCCCCTGCCTAGAACCCGCCCAGTGAGGTGCTGGGGGCGTGGTCATGGTGGGGCCTCCACCTAGAATTCCTCCCCCCACTAGGTGCTGGGGCCTGCAAAAGAAGCAGAAAGAGGAATGGGACTTTGAACGTTCTTCAGCACAAGTTGCTAGCGTTTAAGCAAGCAATGGTTGGATTCTTCCCGCATTAGATCCACTCCCACTCCACTCAAGACAGGTGCCTAGGAAAAGCCTTGCCAGGTCAGTGCGATGCCTCACACCCCAGCTGGCCCCTGGGGTCCCGCTGTCACAGCTTTCCGGGGTCTCACTGACCCCTCAGCTGCGGCCTCTGACTGAAGTCCTCCTCAGAAAGCTGGTTGCTGTCGCTTGCTGGCCACACCCCCTGCTCTCTGGCGCGCCTGACCTGGCTTGAGGGGCTACCTGCGTCTGCACCTTAATAGGCCGCTATTTTGCTGTTTTCTTTTCTGACGCAGCCTCCTGTATCTGAGGATGACCACAGGCGTGCACCACCGTTGTCTGCTGCACGCTGCCAACTCAGCTAGAAGCACCGAGCCCACTGAGCTCTACACCCTTCTGCTAAGTCACCCACAGGTCTTTTGTTACAGAGATGGGGTCTCACTCTGTTCCCCAGGTTGTCCTGGAGCAGCAGGCGTTCACTACCACAGCCATCTTCCAGGCCACTTAGTTACCCCCAGTTACCTTGCTGTGTGCTGGAGACACTGGGAACCTGGCTCGGCCAAGCTGCCGGGCCCTGGGGACAGGGACAATCGCCTCTCAGAGCCTGTGGGCTGCTGCCCTTGAACATTCGGACGCAGACTCCTACTTGGAAATTCATCCTCTGTGACCCCAAGAATAGCCTGTGAGACCTCGAAATAGCTGGTGTGGGAGCAGGGCACTCAGTTCCTTCCAGAGTCTTCCCAGGCCTCTATGGTTCTGATGGTGACTTCCCAAGAGGTGCAGAAGCCCAGAGTGCCTGCAAGGGTTACCAGGATAATAACACCCCAAGCCACCCGCAGACTGGACTGGCTTGCGGGGGGTGGGGGGGTGGGGGGTGGGCTCCTCCTGACTTCAAAAAGGACCTGATGAATCACAGAGCGCCCTCCCCTCGGGCTGGGGGTTGGCACCAGCTCAGACACAAAACTGCTTTTGTTCTGTGGCCTGCCTCAAGGAATGCTTTGACTGCCCAGGTCTGCCAGAGACCTTCAGCTGGGGCCCACGGGCGTCCTGTGAGGTGTCCTCGGCCCAGCCTGGCCCGAGAGCTTGGGTTACGTGGGATCAAGCCCATTTGTGACTTCATATCACCAGGCCGCGAACATGCTCAGATCATCCCCGACTGAAAGCCCCGGGGGCCCGGTGAATGAAGATCTGAATGAATATATATGGGGCCATGTTGATTAGTTAAACACAAAGGTTTGGTGGTGCTAGGCATGGAGCATCAGGCGACCAGCTTGCTAGGAAAGTCTGACGTCCTCAGACCACGCCCCGGCCCCTCAATGGGGAGTCTAGGCGGGGCTATACCCCGGCCACGCCCCCAGACCATCACTGGGGGATTCTAGGCGGTGCTCCACCCTGACCACGCCCCCAGCCCTTTTAAAGTACACAAACCAGTCTTATTGGAAGAAATGAAAATCTGACCCGGGCGGTGGTGGCGCAGGCCTTTAATCCCAGCACTTGGGAGGCAGAGGCAGGTGGATCTCTGTGAGTTCGAGACCAACCTAGTCTACAAGAGCTAGTTCCAGGACAGGCTCCAAAGCTACAGGGAAACCCTGTCTCAAAAAACCAAAAAAGAAAAAAAAAAGCTTGGAGAGATGGCTCAGAGCACTGACTGCCTGCTCTTCCGGAGGTCCTGAGAGCAATTCCAGTGACCACATGATGGTTCACAGCCATCTGTAATGAGATCTGGCGCCCAGAACACTGTATGCATAATAAATAAATCTTTAAAAAAAAAAAAAAAAAAAGGCCGGGCGGTGGCGGCGCACACCTTTAATCCCAGCACTTGAGCGGCAGAGGCAGGCAGATCTCTGTGAGTTCAAGTCCAGCCTGGTCTTCAAGAGTTAGTTCCTGAACAGCCAGGGCTACACAGAGAAACCCTGTCTCGAAAAATCAAAACTGAAACAAAATAAAACAAAAAGCAAGAAATGAAAACCATGAATCAGCTAGCCCCATATGCTCCATTCCTCTGTCTGTGTCTCTCCCTCTCATCATGGTCACCAAAGAGAAGGACAGCATTGTGGAGAAGACGGTAAGGAAAAAAAAAGCACCAGCCGGAAGCCGAGCCACAGCCAATGGAACACTTGGGGTTTCTCAGCCACACGCAACGGCTGTCTCTTTCTGCTGAGAGATTCAGGGAGCCCTGTGAGTGTCCCACGGTCACACAGCCAGAACCCACGCGAAGGCACCACTCTGGGTCTCCCTCCGCCCCAGCCCGCTCACCTTGATGCGCTCGATCCCGGCTTCAATGCGCAGCTGCTCCACCAGCTTCCGGGCCTGGGCAACGTTGTTAGTCCCTGACATCATCAGCCATCAGCCTGGACCCCACTGTCCAGAGAGCTAAAAGCAAAGAGGGGTATGAACCTGCTGATCAGACCTGTGGGCCTTGACCCTGTGACACCGCGACCCCGCCGACCCCTCAGAGGACAGTCCGTCCCTGTGGGTGGGAATCCGGGTCTGCAGTGACCCCAGCCTCTCACACAGACGTTCATTCACTTGAACAGGTCTTGTGACCAGCATGGCCCGGGCTGGGGCTGATTATAATTCAGCTGAAGACTGTCCCGAGCTGGCCTCGCACTCCCAAAGATTCGCCTTCCTCTGCCTCCCGAGTGCAGGGATTAAAGGTGTGCGTCACCACTACCTGGTTAAGGCCCCTAACATTTTATTGTTTAAAAATACCTGTGTATGGGCTGGAGAGATGGCTCAGAGGTTAAGAACACTGACTGCTCTTCCAGAGGTCCTGAGTTCAATTCCCAGCAACCACATGGTGGCTCACAGCCATCTATAATGAGATCTGGTGCCCTCCTCTGGCCTGCAGGCATACATGGAGGCAGAATGTTGTATGCATAATAAGTAAAAAAAAAAAGTTTAAAAAAAATACCTGTGTATGCCCACCTGTTTGTATGCTCAGGTGCACGTGCATAAAGATGTGTGAGTTCTTCTGCATGTGTTAGAGTATCCACACTGAGGTAGGAGACAGCCTGTTTCTCTGGGATTGAACACAGGTTGTCAGTCTTGGCTGCAATCACCTTTTCCAGCTGAGCCCTGTTGTCAGACCTTGTCGATAGTTTTATCAAATGTCACATTAGGCAGTGTTCAATGGAATTTATTTATTTATTTATTTTGTTGCAGCTAGACACGAATAGACAGCGATTTTTGTTTGTTTTGTTCTAAAACAGAGTCTCCATATATGCTGACTTGAACTCTTGGTCATTCTCCTGTCTCTGTTTCTTAAGGTCTGGGTTGACAGGCTACCACATCCAGTTTAACAATGTTTAATCTGATTTCAATTAATCATCATCATCATCACCATCTCTGGCCCTGCCCAGGGTGTGGGCAGATATCCAGCACCACTCCTGGGGACAGAGAAGCAAGAGAGCAGCCTGTGGGCTGGAGAGATGGCTCAGAGGTTAAGAGTCCTGACTGCTCTTCCAGAGGACCTGGGTTCAATTCCCAGTACCCACATGGCAGCTCACAACTGTCTGAAGATCCAGTTGCAGGGGATCTGACACCTTCACACCAATGTACATAAAATAAAGTTAAATAAACCATTTAAAAAAAAAGAGAGATCAGCCTGTGGCTGCAGAGAAATAGCTCCTCAGGACTTTCAAGGCAGGACATGGAAACCACATGGACTCCAACCTGAGATAGTTGAGTACAGAGAAGAAGGCCAGGCCTCGCTGTGTGTTTTCTTGGGAAGCTGGGGAGCAGAGGGCTGGGGAGTAGAAGCTGGGGATGGTCCGGCTCAGCACACGTATGTGCACATACATGTAAGAATGTGTCTGAGTGAGGGTGTGTGTGTAGATCAGTGTGCCCAGATATAAGTGGGAACCAGTCAGTGTCTGTCTTCAGATGTGGGATGTGTGTGTACGGGGATCTCTGGAGGCCGGCATGTGGACGGCATGTACGTGTGTGCTTGGCTATGTGCACGCTAAGTCTGGAGCCCTGCCCCAGCCCCTCTCTGGGGGATTCTCGGCTGATACTGCTCACTCATGCGCGCACACACACACACCTCTGTGTATCTATATCTCAGTATGTACATGACTGCGTTTACCCACAAACACATCTGGACAGGTTTTGTGCTCAACACTTCTCCTGGTACACATCTGATTTTCCATGTGTCTGCTGCACCTCTGCAGGGGACTCTGCATGCTGTCCCTGTTGTCCCGGCAGAAGCGTGTGTCACCAGTCAGTCCCTGACTCACCGCCCAGTCACGCCCCCATACACACACAGGCAGTAGTCAACAACAGCAAACATGCAGGCTGCTGAGTCAGCTGACCACAAGGCTCGGCACGTGGCAGCCCTGGGGGACAGAGGACAGACCTGGGGGTGGAAGGAGCCCACAGAGCTCCTGGCTGTGGCCTCGGTGATGCAGCACCAGGCTCCTGGCGGACCTCGAGAACTCAGGACATCACTTGGGGTGACTTGGGGTGATGGCCTTTCAGAACAGCCCTGGGAGAGCTGCCAGAACTGAACTCAAAGGCCGGGAAGGCAGGGTTAGGTTTTAGCTCTCCTCATGTTTGAGGTATAATTACAGCTTCGGTGTACTGGGGGCATGGCAACCAGGCTCCGAGGAGACAGAGGCTGGTGGAAACTGTTCATGATGCTTGGTCTCCGCCAGCAACCAGTCAGGAGCTCCCCCCATGACAGCCACATATGTCCCTGATGTTACCTGGAGCCCAAGGGGTCAAGTTACTCCCTTTTTGGGTCCATGAACTACAAGAGACCCTGCGTCCCTGGTCACCAACCCTGCTGAGGCGCTTGGAGGTAGCCTACATGGTGCCCAACATGCTGAGAGGGGAAGAGGAGAAGAGGTCCCAGAAGTTGGGGTCTCTTGGGGAGCCTCTTCTGAGGTCTAGGGGTGCACAGAGACATCAGCCAGATGTGCCTGGGCTCCAGGGATGGTTCTGTGTGGCTGTGACGTCCCTGGCCTCATATAACCCATCCGACCACAACCCCCAGCCCTCCTGTTCAACTGAGATTCCAAAGGTGTGAGACTAACAGATAGCTGGGCAAGATGGGTGTAAAATCCTCAGCCTTAGAAAAGTGTGGCCATGGGAGGCAGAGGGGAGACATGAGTCCCTCAGCACACACTGACAGACACACAGAAACTCAAAGATCAAAGAAGAGGCCCAGGTGTAGAAATGCACACCTTTCACCCCAACACTAGATCCAGAGGCCAGCCTGGTCTACATGGCTAGTTCTAGGACAGTCATGGGTACACAGCGAGACCCTGCCTCAAAACCCATACATACACCATACATATACATATCATACACAATACATACATACACCATATACATATCATACATACACACATAACACACGTCATACATACATACACACACCATACATACATACATCATGCGCACGCGCACCATGCATGCATATATCATACATGCATGCATCGTACATACCTATATCATACATACATCATACATACATACATGTCTGGGCAGCAGTGGCACACTCAGGCGGCAGAGGCTGGCGGATCTCTGTGAGTTCGAGGTCAGTCTGGTCTACAGAGCAAGGTCCAGGACAGCCAGGACTGTTACACAGAGAAACCCGGTCTTGAAAACAAACAAACAAACAAGTGAGTAAATGTGCGTGGTGGAGGTGGCGCTCCGTGGCTCCGTGACCACAGGGACACAGTGTGACCCTGAGAAGCCAGGGAGACTGGCAAGAGTGGATCACACAGAAAGGCCATGACAGCAAAACCCTCCCTAGCCAGGGTTTCTCTGTGTAGCCCGGGCTGTCCTGGAACTCGCTCTGTAGACCAGGCTGGCCTGGAACTCAGAGATTCGCCTGCATCTGCCTCTTGAGTGCAGGGATTAAAGGTGTGCTCCTCCACGCCTTGCGACAGTGAGCCTTCTTAAGGATTCCATTTAATGACATGGCTTCTGTTAAGGGTCCTACACACACAGTGATGGGGTTCACTGGAGACAGAAGCTTTAAAAGTACATGCGGCCATGTAACCACCACCAGTACACAGGCCGTTTCTGTCACCCCGACTTCCTCACTGTGTATGGTAGCTGGGGTCGAAAGTCCTGGGACAGGAATCTCACACTGTAAATGGCCTGGCCTTTCTCCTGCGTGACATCAGCACGATTCACCTGCTTGGGCCCTTCTTTCTTTCTCGTAGGTGAGTAATACTCCACCAAAGACAGAAGGCACAGCTAGAGATGACTCGCGGGTAAGGGTGCTGGCGCCAAGCCCTGGACCCACAGCGCAGACGGCCAGGGCAGATTTCCTGAAGCAGCCTGGGCTCTCCACACAGACCGCCATGCGAGCATGCACACATCATCTCCAGCGCCTGTTTTGTGTGTTTGCTTTGGGAACAGGCCTCACATCACCGGGCTGTCACTGCCCCCAACCCGGCTGGGGATGTAGCCGGGGATGGCTCTGCAGTTAGGACAACAGCAGCACGTGCTTACTGGGATATTTTGCTTTCAGTTACAGACTCACAGGTAGTCTCAGAGAGCACACGGCCTGGACAGAGCAAAGCAGTCGAACCTGACCACGCCTGAGCTGCCTTCCCCACTGGTGACAGGCTCACGAGCGGCCCAGGCAAGTGGCAGAGGGCATCAGGGCCTCAGTGTACTTGGGGAGGGTCAACTGGGCAGTCGGGGCATGGGTCCTGCTGGTGCAGAGCGCCCTGCCAGGCCTTGTGCCCTGGTGACACCACATTTGTCCCTGGGAGCGAGGTCTCCCTTATCAGGAGAACCCTGTGACCCCAGCAGGTCTGTAGGTAAAATGAAAACATGAACTCTGGTGACACCGCAGCTCCCAGAACTCCCTGGATCAATGCTGCCGATACCCAAGTTTAGTTTATCAACACCCAGGGGACGGACCCTGTTAGCACAGTGCTTGTGGCTCAGCGGGTGGGGGTGCTTGTCCAGCACACAGGAGGCCCCATCAGAGCACCACAGAGACTGGGCATGGTGGAGCACACCTAACAGAGGATCAAGAGTTCAAGACTACCCTTAGCTACATAGCCAGTTTCAGGTTAGCCTGTGCGACATGACACTTGGTCCCCACAGAAATAAATAGTAAGAGAAAGACTATGACGACCTTGTCCCTCTCTGAACACCAAGGAGAGCCAGGAGAACTGTGGAGGGGGCTGGAGCCCACAGGTTCTCCAGGTCCCTGACACAGGGACAGGGGATGCTGAGCAGCTGTGGCCTGTGAGAAGCCTCTGTCCGGATCCAGGTCAAGAGTCACACACACACAGCATGAGCAGAGGCGGCCAGTGACCAGGCGGCAAATGTGGCAAGGCTGGTTTGCTGCACTTTATTGAGAAACTATTACAGCCTAGGGCTCCTCCTCTCCTGTCCAGAGG